AAGCCAGTGAAAGGTAGTCATGGAAAGCCAATTACGAATGAGGTGGAACAGAGCGAACGCTCCACCGATCACTTCGAACGAATCTTGAATTGACCACCACCTACTCTCCCACAAACACCACCAGCAGACGCAGAAAACCACCAGCGAACATCAACACTCTAGCAGAAACAGAAGCCTTGAAGGCCATGAAGTTACTAAAAGCCAGTCGCTGAAGCACAATGACCACATCAAATCCCCTCCAACCCACCGCCTCACAGAAGTACTGAAAACGGATACAGTGACTTCAGCGGACATGCTCGCATCACTGACTTGTCAAACTGTCAAAGCCTATGCGACGACAACTCGCCTGGAGTCTTGCTCCTGTCCACAGACAGCAAAATATGCAGTCACATCATCCTGGAAAGACCAAAACATGTCCTGCATGGAAGACTCAATTCGCAACAGGTTGGATTCAGGAAAAACAAGTCATGCACGAAGCCAATTGCAACAGCAAACATCAACAGAGCTTAGAATGCCAGTCAACTCTGCACGTCAACATCGTCGACTTTCAAAAAAGGCCTTCGACAGCTCAGAGCGTGAAGTAACTCGGAAACTGTTTCAAGCCTACAGTCTGCAGTGCCGAAAACACTTATCAAGCTCATTCAACACCGATATGATGATGCGATATTGCGAGTAATTCGCAACGGAAAGCTCACTGAAGCGTTTGCAGTGAAGACGAGAATAATATATGGCTGTCTATTATGACCTATGATCCTGCCGATTGTGCTGGACTGAATCATGCGGCTGGCAGTGAGGACTGAGAAGATGGGCAAACGCTGCACTGACAAAACCACTCTGGGTGATCTGGATTTCGTGGATGACTCACGTCTCGTGTCGCACAAACTCAAGGATGTACAAGAGAAAGCCAGCAAACTGCTATAAGAGGCAGTGAAGACGGCACTTCAGGTGAACGTAGAGACGACAGATGTGATAAGGACACATGACTACCCACAGAAAACAACAATCACCACCAATGGGAGAAATCTGAAGGAAGTCATCTCTCTCGCTTTCCTAGGCACCATCGTTTCAATCGCTGACCAGTAAGAGATCAACTCAGATGAAGCCAGTGAAAGGTAGTCATGGAAAGCCAATTACGAATGAGGTGGAACAGAGCGAACGCTCCACCGATCACTTCGAACGAATCTTGAATTGACCACCACCTACTCTCCCACAAACACCACCAGCAGACGCAGAAAACCACCAGCGAACATCAACACTCTAGCAGAAACAGAAGCCTTGAAGGCCATGAAGTTACTAAAAGCCAGTCGCTGAAGCACAATGACCACATCAAATCCCCTCCAACCCACCGCCTCACAGAAGTACTGAAAACGGATACAGTGACTTCAGCGGACATGCTCGCATCACTGACTTGTCAAACTGTCAAAGCCTATGCGACGACAACTCGCCTGGAGTCTTGCTCCTGTCCACAGACAGCAAAATATGCAGTCACATCATCCTGGAAAGACCAAAACATGTCCTGCATGGAAGACTCAATTCGCAACAGGTTGGATTCAGGAAAAACAAGTCATGCACGAAGCCAATTGCAACAGCAAACATCAACAGAGCTTAGAATGCCAGTCAACTCTGCACGTCAACATCGTCGACTTTCAAAAAAGGCCTTCGACAGCTCAGAGCGTGAAGTAACTCGGAAACTGTTTCAAGCCTACAGTCTGCAGTGCCGAAAACACTTATCAAGCTCATTCAACACCGATATGATGATGCGATATTGCGAGTAATTCGCAACGGAAAGCTCACTGAAGCGTTTGCAGTGAAGACGAGAATAATATATGGCTGTCTATTATGACCTATGATCCTGCCGATTGTGCTGGACTGAATCATGCGGCTGGCAGTGAGGACTGAGAAGATGGGCAAACGCTGCACTGACAAAACCACTCTGGGTGATCTATATTTCGTGTAGACTCTCAGAAACTTGAGGATTTTTATTGGTTTCTGTGGGTGGTTTGGTTATAATATTTGGAAGTCATTTTCGCTGGGTTATCTTCTGGATTTTACCGGAAATCTTCTTTGTAGAAACAGTGTTAGTTTATCTCTGTATGGGACGTTTTCGCATTCGGTGAGTGTTATTTTGCGATGTTCTGGATTGGGTCGATTAGTGACTGTAATATCTGGGTACCACTATGGAAATCGAAATTCTACTTTATTTTATAGAGTATCTGTTTCGTCGAGAATAGCCAACTTCATACAGGATCATCTAATTCAGTGTAATGTGGGCTATGGTGTTATGCACAACAACTGTATAAGACGTAGTCACAAATTAAAGACTTCCTTAGATCGGAGTTAAAAAGCTTTGGAACACATTCCAACATGCGAACATAAATCCTCCCTTCTGTTCATTTGATGAATATGCCTTAGTTATGACAGAATAGTTATTAGCTGATGCTTGGATTTCTAGGCGGACAGGACCTTTGGAACTAATATTGTCGCCATAAAAACTTAGCAGCTGATTGATCCGAGGAGAAACTAACTATTTTCTCACTAAAGAGATTCAACGTATGGTCTAAATTTACACTTTAGGCGTTTTCTACAACTCACCTTACAAAAACTGCTGAATCTATTGCACAAGAATAATGACAGCGATTTTACTACTGCACCTTGTTGTCTGTAATTTAATGGATTTGAATTTCAAATCCGTTCTGTTACAATTCAGCATGCAAAGTCTGAAACATGTTAACTGTGACCCTTGCTTAGATTCCTGATCGCGTCTATAAGCTGAAAGTGTCAAACGCGGATTACAGACTACTGCACAAACATAAATCAGGAACACCTTCATACACTTGTTCTCGTCAACAGTCTGGAGTAACGGTCATAAAAATAATGTCAAACAACCCAGTCCCATCCAGTGCTAGCAAACTATCTATTTGACCTCATTATTACTTAACTCAGTGAAATTGACACAGATGGCTGGTTTTATTATAAAAATAACTGAAAAATTTTATATAAGTATGCGGTACGATGAGGCCTCTACTGAAATAACTAGTTGCCTATGCACAACTGATTCCTCCGCTTTTTCTGAGTATAGACAACGCCCATATAATCCTGCCGGTAAGTGCTCATAAAACATGAGTTCACATTAGAAGCAACAATAAGTTAACCTCCAGATAAAAATTACAGCTCCTTAGACGAAGACCACACAAAACCATACCTTCATACCTGGTCAATATTTTTCTTCTGAACACCTCGATGTGTCAGATTCGTAAAATGACGTTTCCCCTTAGGAAATATTATTTATTTTGATTTATAGCTTGAAACCACAGTATTTTTGGTACAAGTATGGAATATTCAGCATGTGATATCGGTAGCCCAAATTTTGCAGGTCGACCAATTGATATCAGGTGTGCGTCGATAGGGGATCGAACCCCGGACCATTCGCATGGTCGGTGAGTCTTAACCGCTGTGCCACCGACGCAAATTACTATTAAGATAGATCGTTTGATTCCTCGAGGCGCCTTCTAGCTTTAACAGAGGAATCATAAATTCTAACGCAAGTTTTATGGACTACATCGTGTGGAGTCAAAATATTATGAAGTTTCCTCTTGAATACGGTTTCTTTCACTAGAAAGATGGATATGTAGAAAATGTCTCAAATGCTGCACCTCCTTTTTTATTTTTAGGCTGAAATGCTCAACTTTCCATCTTCACTACCAACTTTTGGATCAACCAATTTGATTCCTGATGAATATTTCTCAATGAGTCTGTTCTTTCTCATCTTTTGAAATGAATATTCCTTTGCATATTTTATGCTATTAACGAAGCCTTGCTGACGTTATCGTATATCAAACATACTTTGCAATCCCTTTTGGTAACTGTGTACGTTGTCTGATCAGCTTATACGCCCTTCCACGAAAATCACTGTCTAAAATGTTTCTAGCATAGAAATTAAGTTGAAAAGCAAACAGTCGAGTTATCCAACAAATATTACGTATTTGTAAATCTAAACACATAACAACATTAGTGCTAAGTGAGATTTGTTGACGCTATTCATGTTTTCTTTTAAGTAGTAAGTTTTTAATCCAAGCCATTGAACTTCATGAAATTAACCAAACTGTAGGAATAAAAATCATTCTTCACGTCTCTACACAGAAACACTTGTTGTGTCATTTACATTGCTTTCTTTATATATATATATATATATATATATATATATATATATATATATATATATCATATGTAAGGTCATCTCAAATCTGTACTGTTATAGTACACAGGCGATAAAATCTTTTCAAGAGATGGCTTCTGAACCCCCCGCAGAATGAATGTCAAAAGATCGATTACTTAGTGTGCCCAAAATGTTTGGTAATAATATTTCTTGAAAACAAAGGATTTCTACTTCCGAAACTAGAATTTTATCCTTATTTGCAAATAACTAAAAACTCGTAATTACTCTAAACTTTTCATACCGCACACTAATTGTAATATATGCTATTGTTTACTTAATGAATTTCTATCTACTGAAGCATTGAATTATGGTTAACTGGTATTCTGGTTAAAAAAGACCATAGAACAGAGAAATACCTAGCCGGAAAAAAAATAATAGTGCAAATTCACGAGTTTATAGTCTCTACTGAGGGCCAGGGCAGTAGCAGGGGCTGGACTTGTTTCTTTTGGACACAGAGCAATAATTTTTTAGCTAATATACAGCTGGAACAAAAGTGAAAATCGATTGGCCTGATTGAGGATAATGGTACCGTTGCCCTTAATTCTTGCCGAATACCAACACTACAACTGTACACATACACACATTTGTAACGAAATAACCAATGCGAAACAATTTCATTTTTCATATCAATTAATCATCTACTGCTAACAGAAGTGGTCTGACTAGTGATCAAATCTTCATCTACTGCGTAAAACACGAAAAGGGCATTCAGGCGCACACGACACCCTGTATACACTTCACCCAAATTCCATGCAAAGTGAATTCAATTTATAATTCATAAGACTGAATAATGATCAGTATTTATTAGTAAGGAAAAACAAAATTAGTAATCACATTTGAGAATCAATACAAAAATAGGCAGCATATAATAAAGCTTCTTTGGAAATTGATCACACTAATGATGCTTTCACACATTAACTGTGGAGTTTTATTGAGAAATAGGATTGACTAATGAAATCAGTTGTCAAAAAAAGTTGTAAAGATATGTGATCCTATGCAATTTGCAATTAATCCTCAAACATAAGTTCGACAAGACCAGGTTTTAGGACTTCACTGTCAGATAATCTTTTCATCTACAGTTTGGAGATAATGTTGGCAATTATATACGAAATTGAAACTTACTGTATTAAACTCGATCAGAGACGGGATGCTAGTTATTCGACACTTTGGATGTGTTCTAAATATATTATTTGGGTCACGCCAACTGATAAAGTAAGGTAAAGAAATGTGAAAACATACGTATTTCTATCTCCTACTTCAACTTTCAGAAATACAGCATTTTCTGGTAATTTCTCGAGTGCTTTCTTTATTATTGGCTCACCTAAAAAGTATTTTTTTTAAAACAAACACATAAAAGTAGTCCGATTTTGAAGAACTACTGGTTATATTACTGGACGTAAGTATTCTTGAGACATTAGTCAGAGAACGGTCAGTGCATATGAGAATTCTTCTAATTATACAAAGTAACGGTTGGCAAAAATGTACTGAGTCAGAGTTATACTTTCGACTATAAAATACTACAAAGAAATTGACAACACCAGCAGGCCGCTAGAACACAGTAAGAAGAATATGGGCGGAGAAAACGCATATTATCGTAAACATGAAATAAACTGGTAAAATAGTTGGACCGCAAAGCACATGTCCAACTTGCGATTTCTAAAATTGTGTGAATTCCAAACAATTATTTATATAAATCAAACCGGAGACTGATGGTGCACGAATTGATGTTATCTTTTTCTAATCATTTTGAAGATTCTTAAAACCTACCACTACCTCAGACAATACTATGAAATGAATTGGGTGTTCGCAGATTTATTTTTGTAACACATGCTTCAACTAATCAAGTCAGAGAAAATTTATACCTAAGATATGCTCTTACGGATAAAAATCACACCTTGGTCTAGCCAACTTTAACTTTTTTTACAACCCACTCTCATGTTGCCCCTGAGGTACTGTCTGATAACAGTATGCACTTACCAAGACTGAATTCGGTGGAGCAGCAATCGAGTCAGCCACGTAACGCAGCGACCATCCCTCTGCTTTTTTCATCCTGTCCAAGGAGTAGCATCGCTGAACAGTAAGGAAGACGCTCAGATGACGTTATTTGCATAATTCCAAGAAACTGAAGCCGGTATTCCAATATAACAATACTTTTTGAAAGAAAAGATTCCCCATGTCCAAAGACAAGTCTCCGTAAGACGCGAGTAATTCTGCAGCAGCAGCGACGATCGACCATGCAGTTTTATAGCAGATAACCTCGTATAGGTTACGTTTCGGAGACTTAGAACAAGGGTGCGTTTAGTGAATCATTTCAAACCCTTGACAGTCACAGTAGCAGCCCTATATGGCGCCAAAGTTGGAATGTGTCATCCTGGCTTGAACTACACCGTTAGAGAATTCAACTGTTAAATCATTCAAACACACGAACTTATTGACTGCTTCTAACGACTTGTAAGAGGGCTGAGATACTGTCCTGATAGAAGCAGGTGGATGTCTCAAGGTACCAGCTCCGAGTCTTTGACTTTGAGTCTAATCCACAAGGCAGTGAAGCAGGGTCAGGAGTTTGGTCCCCATAGATGCAGGTGATTAACACACATCTACATCCCATATAATTATTTCGGTTCTGAAATCCATATGCACCAGAGGTTCGAGATGAGGTTTTCGGGCTCCCCTGGATAGACCTTCATAAACACTAGTCCGGTGGTAAGGGCCGAACATTCCCATTGGTCCTTCCACTTTTATGAGGATATCATTTGCCAGTGAACAGGACTTACTTGGGGGGGTGTGGACGCGTGGCTGTATGGGAGTATTACGAGACCAGAGTTTATGCATACTTCGCCGTATCACGTCTTTTATGAGGAGGCTACATAATAAAACAGATAACTTAATTTTATCTAGCCGGTAGTCGTTATTTTTACTGAAGTATTATAAACTACTGATGCACAAACAGACAGTAAATATTTATGGTTCGCAATTAGATGTGTTTTCTGAGCTGGTTGGTTTAATCGCGAAGCTTTCGTCATCCTTCTGAACATTATTAGTATTATTTCTCTATCATATTTATGGTATAAATCAAGATTGTAGCTCATCAGTAGACAACCATCTATGCATGGATCACAAATCTCAAGTGTGAGTGCAAGTTGCTTTCCAACACGTGTGTCAAGTTATCAGACAACATCAAGAACGTTACCTACAAACCGTATTTTAAAATGAATGAATACTTTAGTCACAGAATGTCAAAGCAATTACGCTTACCGAAAAAAGATGTATAAAGTTGGATGCACCAAATATACTAACCTTTGACACAATCGGGACACCAGTTGGTTCCATCCGGCAAAGGCGTCCCAGAGAAGAGAACAAATATCCTTTTTCCCTTGAACTTCTCAACCTCAGACAAAAGTTGGTCTATGGTCTTAATTGGTGATAAAAGCGTGCTAAAGTGACAAAAACAATGTAGTGTACTTAACAAGGCTATGAAATGTTTTGATTGCTCGTAGTTCTGATGGTTGAATACAGTCCATATATACGAATAGACAATATAGACAAGAACCGTATGTCATCAGACTGCAAACTACGAAACTCATACGGACAATTAAATAGCACTAAACAAGATGAACAACCAAACTGGTCAAAAAAATAATAAAAGTCCACAAGAAAGAATTACACAATCACGGAAAATACACATTCGATCTCAGGAATTTTTAAATAGACGTTTGCAGCGAAGAAAATTTCCATTCCGGCACAGTCAACTAGGCTGTACACGTGTGTATTTATATCAAATGGGTGAGAATGTTCAGGAATTATATCCGATCAGCGATAAATTACTAAGTGTAATAAACAGAAGATGGACAGTAGCACTCTTCTAGAAATATTTCAGGTCAAAGGGCATATAAAAGAAAATTACAGTGTGGAGTAACCAGGAAGATCAGGTAGAAAAGACATTATAAGATTATAATTACTGGAAAACTCGTCAGTTTGTATGATTACGGATTAAAGACGCAGTATTAACAAAATAGGTAGGAGGTTCGAACATATAAAAATAAATAACCAGGAACCAAATCTAGTAATGCAGATAGGGATTGAAAACGTAATATATAACAGAAATAAACGGGAAGGTTGTACAGGAGAGGTAATGCAATAATCATTATTTTTGGGTCTGACTTTTCATGATGGTCACGGTAGGGACAACAGTTGGACGTATTCTTTTTGGATACACGGAGTAGGCTTGAGCTTTCGGGTTGCCAGTGCCTCAGCGATTTGAAGACTTCTTGATTTCACTCCCTTTGGTAGGTTTGATCTAATCCTGTTAATGCCTTTAAAGGACTTTTCAAATGGACCTGAATGTCAAGAATTCACCAGATGTTCTGTTTTCGAACTGTATATCCTTTTGTGTTCTACCTTTGCAAACCATTCTGGATAGTGTTCCCGAGCGCGTTTCACAAGCGAATACATGGTACACCCAATGTTTTCGGCTCCACAGCAGAAAGTGAACTTCTATACCCTCATGTGGAGTCGTGTGAGAAGATTAGTGTAACATAGAAACATTTGAATGAGAATTCCACAAATTACGCGATTGGATTGCTGGTAGATTGTACCCAAAATTTATGTGGTATTATGTATAATTGTAATACCAAATTGAACACCAATATTACAAAGTAAATGATTATGAATGACAACGAATGTATAGTATTAAATCCTCCTGAGTCATGTTTATATTAAATTCTATTCATATTGATTATAAACTTCAGATGGATGAATGATCATGTCAAGGACGGGGTTATAGGAGAAATTTTGGGGTAGAATTTTATGTGCGTTGTATGTGTCAGTGTGTAAGTTAACAACTACGTCTGAATAAGAAAACAAAAGGTTAGTTAATATAAGCGTAATGACAAGGGGTAGGGGGATTTATATATACAGGGTGGAAGGCCATATCAAAAACGGCCTATGTAACAAGGTATTTATGAATTTGCAGACTCCACAGCAGACCAGGGCAGTAATAGTGGGCTGGGGCAAAGTCAAACTACCATAGCCAAAACCGCAGTGGCCCTGAACGACTGATCAGAATTCAGCTGTAAAAAAGTCGCATGATCGTTGAGAAATAAACTTTAAAAAATTGCTAACATGATATTACACTGTATAGTTATAGCTTATGTCTCGTAAGAACGTCTCCCAGTCAATACACCTATTATCTATAGAGAAATCGTATATGCGCGATATATCCATTCATCCAAGTGACTGTAGGTCATGGTACTTTGAGATCCACTGGTATTTATGACACTTCTCCGACCTACTCATAACTCTATCCATAATCCTAACTTTAACCCTAAACCTAACCTTAACCCTAGGTCCGAAACCTTAATCTTAAACGCCATAACCCTAGGGCTAGGTAGCTACTTAACAGGATAGATTTGCAGAAAAAGTACGCAGTAAGTAAGCGGAATACTGTATCTACCCCCTCCAAGTCGGAAAAGGCGGGCATGATTTGATTTGGAATGATATTTCGTATCATTCCATGTGTCTGGTCGGTCCTTGAAGGTCAACTTTTCAAAGACTTTGACTTTGGTTATGAAACTTCAACTTCGCCATGGTTGGACCTTTTTCTTCTATAAACAGATCACCAGTTGTCTTGGGTGAGCTGCAGCCGATTTAGCTCTTTGGAGTATTCGGTACCTGGATGCCTTTGGCAATTTATTTGGTACCCGGAGGCGATCACAAAGAATTCTTCAATACTGGCTTTGTGGACCAGGTGGTCTAGTATCGAGCTTTGCTACACCTTTTATTTATTCGCACTGGTAGTTGTCCCCGAGCACGAAAAAGCAAATTCCTAGAGCAACGATCAGTATAACTTGTTCACAAGCTTAGTTGAATTGGTAGATACAGTTGGAAGTGACTAGTCTACTTCATCTTTCAATCGAGGAATCCCCATCGGTCGTGTAGAAAATATGACTTGTAGTTGACCAGCATTAGAAGTTCTTTGAATGGATTTTTCTTAACTTCCTAGCAATTATTATTCCACCAGGTGAGTCACCCTTAAACTTCAGTTGTATACATATTACAAGTGAAGTTTAAGGGTGACGCACCTGGTGGAATAATAATTGCTAGGAAGTTAAGAAAAATCCATTCAAAGAACTTCTAATGCTGGTCAACTACAAGTCATATTTTCTACACGACCGATGGGGATTCCTCGATTGAAAGATGAAGTAGACTAGTCACTTCCAACTGTATCTACCAATTCAACTAAGCTTGTGAACAAGTTATACTGATCGTTGCTCTAGGAATTTGCTTTTTCGTGCTCGGGGACAACTACCAGTGCGAATAAATAAAAGGTGTAGCAAAGCTCGATACTAGACCACCTGGTCCACAAAGCCAGTATTGAAGAATTCTTTGTGATCGCCTCCGGGTACCAAATAAATTGCCAAAGGCATCCAGGTACCGAATACTCCAAAGAGCTAAATCGGCTGCAGCTCACCCAAGACAACTGGTGATCTGTTTATAGAAGAAAAAGGTCCAACCATGGCGAAGTTGAAGTTTCATAACCAAAGTCAAAGTCTTTGAAAAGTTGACCTTCAAGGACCGACCAGACACATGGAATGATACGAAATATCATTCCAAATCAAATCATGCCCGCCTTTTCCGACTTGGAGGGGGTAGATACAGTATTCCGCTTACTTACTGCGTACTTTTTCTGCAAATCTATCCTGTTAAGTAGCTACCTAGCCCTAGGGTTATGGCGTTTAAGATTAAGGTTTCGGACCTAGGGTTAAGGTTAGGTTTAGGGTTAAAGTTAGGATTATGGATAGAGTTATGAGTAGGTCGGAGAAGTGTCATAAATACCAGTGGATCTCAAAGTACCATGACCTACAGTCACTTGGATGAATGGATATATCGCGCATATACGATTTCTCTATAGATAATAGGTGTATTGACTGGGAGACGTTCTTACGAGACATAAGCTATAACTATACAGTGTAATATCATGTTAGCAATTTTTTAAAGTTTATTTCTCAACGATCATGCGACTTTTTTACAGCTGAATTCTGATCAGTCGTTCAGGGCCACTGCGGTTTTGGCTATGGTAGTTTGACTTTGCCCCAGCCCACTATTACTGCCCTGGTCTGCTGTGGAGTCTGCAAATTCATAAATACCTTGTTACATAGGCCGTTTTTGATATGGCCTTCCACCCTGTATATATAAATCCCCCTACCCCTTGTCATTACGCTTATATTAACTAACCTTTTGTTTTCTTATTCAGACGTAGTTGTTAACTTACACACTGACACATACAACGCACATAAAATTCTACCCCAAAATTTCTCCTATAACCCCGTCCTTGACATGATCATTCATCCATCTGAAGTTTATAATCAATATGAATAGAATTTAATATAAACATGACTCAGGAGGATTTAATACTATACATTCGTTGTCATTCATAATCATTTACTTTGTAATATTGGTGTTCAATTTGGTATTACAATTATACATAATACCACATAAATTTTGGGTACAATCTATCAACAATCCAATTGATGTTAATCTTTAAAAACCACTAATGTTATCAATAACAACCATTGTTTGATTATGGAGAACCTGATGAAGTTATCGAAAAGTATATTCTATGTTCACTAATTTTCGGGGAAGTTCTTTGATAGGTGATTTAATTTGATTATTTTCTGATCACTTGGTAATTTTCATATATAATGGAAAAATGTCTGCAGCCATCCTGAATAAAAACGCTGCATGCATACACATATTAGTAAATAAGTATGAAAAGGGTTGCCTGGATACGAGAATATCTCTCATCGTTGGTTATTAATCAATTAGACTTCAATACAAAACCTCCCTATGTATTGAGTCAAACGATTCATACGAGTCAGGAAATATGGAAACTGTCGAGTGTCAGTCGGTAGGTGCGTTTTTAAGCCTATCAAAGGATGAAAACCTAATAAATATACTCCGACAGAACTTGGTAGCTGACTGACTAAACTAAGGAGATTTTCACTAGTCAAACTTAGTCTTCATATATTCAGAGATTCGAAGATCTCACAGGTTATTTCAGTCGACCTGATCTTCAGATTTTAATTAATTTAATTTTTTTAATTTTAATTTTTGATTTACAGCTTGATTCCACACCGTATTTTCAGTACAAGTATGGAATTTTCAGCATGGATATCGGTAGCCCAAATTCAGGCCGACCATAGATATCGGGTGTGCGCCGGCAGGGGATCGAACCCCGGACCATGTGCATGGTCGGCGAGATAGTTAAAACATAAAGATTACTTCCCCCTATAAAACGCTGTGAGCAATAACTTACTGATTAATTAGTACTCACAAGTAAGTGAAATAACCACTTAAGTCACCATCAATTTCAATATCTCCGGAGTCAAACCATCAGGTTCGATAAGTATGCTTCGTTCTAGACTAGACACCTTCGGAACCTCAGTCATCTTCTGATGAGCGATGTTCACATCTCATTCATCAAGTTTTCAGCTTTCAGAATCAGCTGCATTGGGTCGATGGATATATAATGTATAAACTTTTACATAAGAGCAGTATTTCATGGTGCTACCTATCACAAAAACATACATTGAATGTCATTTAGATTAAAAGACCTTCATGATATTCTGGCAGTAAATGAATTTGACTTCTAGGTATTGTTGTATAATCTATATAACATCCCTTGGTGCAATCTAACTCCAATCAACAGTATAAAAAACCAACCATTACCTCATGCTCATGCTTATGGCCAGCACTTTCTTGGTAGCGCGCCACTCATGTTATCAAGGGTTCAATTTTAATATCTCCAAACGTTCAATTAATGGGGCTGGACTTATCCGGCATGTTGGTTGAAATTTCGCTCGGCAAATTTATTTTGTCAATAATTTTTGATAAAATTTTATTATATGTTTTCTGGATTGACAGGAATTCTCATTTCCTGGCTAGTTATGTTGGTGTTCGCGTCATTTAATCTGACTGCGACACACTTAGCATATTGGTTGTAATGATTAGTGTTTCATGCTGAATGCGTCAAAACATCCCTACAGTGAAGAAGATGGGGTAGTTAGGGGGTAATGTCATCTACACAAATAGTTTATTTCTTGTAGAAGCTGCAGCTTTCGACATAGTGTCATTCAATGAAGACTACGTCAAAATGTGGCTATTTTCGTGTGAAGAACAGTACTATTTTACAAAAGAATGCTATCAGTACATGGGAATCACCTATAAATGCCAACAGAACGTAAAACCGATGTGTAAACGAACGGCTACGGAACTGCAATCCAACATAACCGACTAAAATAAACGAAAATGACCTTTGAGCGTCTCACTCCATCAATGACCTTGAGCATGCGGGATAATTTCAGCCATTAATGGTCTACCCAGCTTTCAGAAGGAGTGCATGCTTTTTAAAGAAGCTAAGTGAAGATAGGTGTACCTGAAAAATTAACGGTCTCTAATGTTCTTGAAAGTCAATTTTGAGTTTGAAGTACCTGTTGACTATCCAAATTGATATATTCAACGGCCCAGTAACAATACAACAAGAACATATATGCCGTGATTGCTTGAATTTATTTCGTTCCGTCTGTGCTGCATATGCACAGTCACATCATGTAAAAATGCAGTGCCGCAGCACATCAATTACTATAGCGAGTAATAGAAAGTGATTCAGATGTAACAAATCCACATGAAAGTCACAGCCATGAGTTTTTTGGACGGAACATGATTTCTGTCCACTGTCAAAATTAATGCTTTAAGTGTTTCGAACTCCTCATTCAATCGTTTACAGTCTGTCTTGTAGAACTCTCGTGCAACTGAATTGCTATTTTAGCGTCGGCCTGAATTTGGGCTACCGATATCCATGCTGAAAATTCCATACTTGTACTGAAAATACGGTGTGGAATCAAGCTGTAAATCAAAAATAGAATTAATAGCGGTCTTAATAGCACTGATGGCATTTCAGGACTATTAGTACTAGTACTGTTAAATGGAGTTGCCACTAAAGATCACTGTAAACTCTTTGTCCTCCAGTGCACTTGAAGGTTAAATTTGTCAGACGTTTTAAGTCGTCAGATTACTTATATGGTCTACATTTATAGTCAGAGTTTTGTGGTTGTTCAGAACAAATATCCTTCCCGTTCCACACTTTTTGAACGTGGTTCTAGCCAGTAATTTGGCGTATGACAAATAAGTCATAGTTCAGATTCCATATATCCGTAACAGTTCCGAGGGGTAGTTTGTGGTGTTTTACTCCACATAACCGTGGTCGATGGATGCCACCAAATAAATACTTGGTGCGTAGGACAGTGAACTGACAGTATATCCAGTCTGGGGGTAGACTGGGTGATAGATCCGTCACTCGTACGCATCTGAGCTGCTTGCTAACATGCGAGGCAACTTTGCCCTCTTCCTTGCAATCCCTATGTTGTCTAATCAAGTGCATGCCCCTTACACTGTCCTCCTGATTCGCAATAACAGGCGCTGGCCAAGTTTCTATCAGTATTATTTTTTGAGATCTAGGTGGGATTGTTTGTTTCTGAACCCGATCATTTTGCCCCTCAGCCCCGCACGTTACTGTGTAGGCAACTGACACTTTGTCTCACCACTTCGCGTTGTTGTAGGCAGGTTTATGAGACGCAGGCTGCTTGTTGAGGATTTAATATTCTGGCTGGTTAGACGATTCCAATGGAACTGTCCTACTGTCGCCTTTCCCTTAGATTCTTATAGGGCACTTGGCTGATATTTGTTGTCGCCCCCTTAGTATTGCACCACTGTAGAAACTGAGGCATAAGGCACATTGTAACCTCAGTTTGTTTCCTTCCTAAGTTTTGAGGTTTGCTTCAAAGCCGCCGGGTGTTTCTTCTAACAGTGTTTTTCATCCCATATTATTGTTGCAGCACTCTAGTCAGTCACTTTGAGAAGCTAAATTTATCGGCTAACAGCCATAGTAAGCCCATCGAAATGAAGAGAATATGATGGGGTGGGCAAAAGATAGAGGTTGCTGCAGAACAACAAAAGGCCATATGAAAGGACAACCACTTCAACTGCTGTACATCGGGCGTGTTCCCCCCAGTGAGTACTGATTTCAAGCTCCGGAACATTGCGTATAAACATGGTGGCGCAAGGCATTAGTTCTTGTGACCGTCTTGCTATCTAGCTCGATGTCCATGGCGTGTCTAATCACATTCTTATACTGGAAGTTCTCAGGAGAGTAAGAAGATATTCTGAACATCCTCAGCAGAGCTCAGTGTTGCCCCCAGAGAGGGTGGTCACCTTGAGGCACCTGAGCGCACTATCACAGCCTGTAAAATTCACAGGCTGCATGCTAAGCACTCGTTTGTTTGCATAAATTAGACCACTAGTCCTGATCAAAAAGCACTTTCTGTCCTAATAAACCGCTGCTGCACAGCAACACGTTGAACAAAATGAGCCATTTTGATTGACCAACCTTTCGCTTACGCCCAGTTCCTGGTTGCGTATCAGTAACCTTAACCTGTTTAAGGATGCTACTATGGTTTGGCACGCTGTAGATATCATGTTTGCTAGTGGATGAGGGTGGTCCATTGGCAGTATTAGAAATATCTGCTGCTCTAACCGCGGCGTTTGTGGTGTTTATCAAATGTACGTTTGTGCATCTGTAGTGTTACCGGAATTATACTCCTAATCTAGTCGGCAAGAGTATTTTGTTTTCGGCCGCCTTCACCAGTATGTTCCCTTTGTTTCCCGCTGAACATTTCGTAAGACTGGTCAAGACATAAACACCAGAACGACAGGCATGAGATAATTTGTGTAAACTTATATTGCGCTGTCGGTATTCCTTTGTCCCATCAAGCGTGCACGTATTGACTGCGAAAATTGCATTCAAAGGCCGAGTCGAACTGCTGGCCTGGCAGTCAACACTTCCAGAAAACGTCTTCGAGGTCTTGATTTCTTGGCATCTTGAACGTTTCCATTCAGTTTCATTAAGGGTGACAGCACAACTTACTATGGAGAGGAGTGAAACCGCCCACCATATTCGACTGGTGTTGTATCATTGCCAGAATGTGAGGACATAGACACTAATTGGGTGAAGAATATATACGCAAGTCTTCAGAACAGGTAGGCGTGATGCCTTTAATTCCACTGGGTTATCGCCGCTCCTAACTGGAATTTTAGTCGTGACGAAAAATGGAGTAGCAGTTCAATTTACAAGGCGAGAGTCGACTCTTTTGTTACCACCCATCTTTAGGTACTGTTAAACACTAGTGAAGGAAACAAAAACAATGACTGTCCAATGGAATAGGAAAAAAGACTGATGAATTGTACGGAAAGTGGTTTTGGCTTTACCTTGAACTTTCGGGTTATTCTGCTTGACGGTAATCACGTAGCAGACTAACAAATCTTGTTCATTTGCTTAAGTGGGGAAGATTCTACTTTGTTGACACAGTGATTTCACGACTACGACGTTTCCCGATGGAGTTCTACTCGTATCGTATGAGAAATATCTTTTGGGATTTAGCGAAAAACTTTTCTAAATTTGTGAACCTAAAGATTCCTTTCTGTTGATCTCAAGCATATACAGTTTATAGAATAACGATTTTTGTCTTTATAGTCAATCGATCTCCCCAAATGCGTAGGTACCAAACGTTTTCGTATTTATATTCTATACCGCCTGGTCTTTTGACATATAAATACACCAGGTAACAGTTTTCATAGCTCGATGCATATTTAATCCTTCGGTATTGAAAAGAGCATACTACAGTGTCCCAGTCACCGCACGAACACGCTTTGAAGAAATAGTGTTACAGTTTTCCACTAAACCTGAAACAAAAGCAAATCCAAACAGAGCTTTACTGACAACAGACTATTCAAGAACTGCAAGATTATTGTTCCTTTAAACAAAATGTGTCAGATTACCATGGTGCAAACCTACAAACATGAGGTTATATGGCATCCAGACACCAAGAACGCAATAGCCTGGCCCCAAGATGCTCCGCAGTCAACAAAAATGTGCATCCGAACAAAAACTCCATAGCAGTCGAATGAACCACATGGCATAATTAACACGAAATGCAGCATGGCATACAAAATAAAACTTTAAAGATGCAATATTAGATATAACACATAGTATACTAAAATATTTGTTTTGGGTCTCATTTAACTTTATTATGGATAGACACTTTTCCCATAGCTTTTGTCATGAAAGTATGTTAACCATTAAGACCACCAGAAGGTTACAATATTTCTCAAAAGTAAAGTAGTAGCTTCTGCAGTACGAAACGGTAAATTACTTTGGAAGAAATCCCTTATTTCAGATGACACTCACTCGACGTTTCTACCGACGGTAAGTGTATCTCTTTAGCTAGTCTAAATGGGTTTTGGTAAACGTCGAGATTAACGCCTCGCAGAAGGGACTCAGAACATAGTGTAGAAAAGTTTATTTGGTCGTTATTCTTGTCTTCATATACAGTCAAGTCCGAGACTGCTCCAAATATCACACATGAGTAGATTTAATTAAAGTTAGTTGATTACTGTGATTGATAGAATGTGGACCCATTTCACTGTTGGCACTTCCAAGAAAGAACGTTCATGACTGTTCAGATCCAGATATACATGCATGCCGACCGCCCAAATGATTAAATACTTGGCCTATACTTCCCCATCTTGATAACCAGCTTGTCTCTAATGCTACCGAACTAGTGACAACGTAATACCAGATAGAGACGAACTGAGTGAAACAACATTTACTTTTACATTAGGGTGTCATCACTAAATTGACCGTAACATATATACATATAGATACATTTACATA